GATACTTTGCTTATTATTTTACTATTGAATAAACGAGCAACTACTCTATCAATTTAAAAGTAATTTCAAAATATTTTAGAATCTATTGGTTCTATCTGCTCTAATTTCAATTGTAGTATTTTGAATCAACATGACTACCGATAATGAATCAGCTAATATGGAAGTTCGATGTATTCCAGACAATCTATACGCCATATCTGGTGTCTTGAATACAAAAAAGGTTCGTTTCGAAATCGAAACAAAATGCAAAGGGGAAACAGTCAAACGAACACCACTCAATTTAGTACTTATTCTTGATCGTAGTGGATCTATGGAAGCTGACAACAAATTAACATTTGCCAAACAAGCAGTTATTTCTGTTCTTAATCTTCTTCACGACGATGATATAGTTCATCTTGTTGCATATGATACTGATGTATCCATCATTTTTGAAAACGCACGAGCGTCTACTCGTCAGTTTCTTCATTCTACTGTAGACAAAGTTGAAACTGGTGGTTCAACAAACATGTCTGGTGCTATTGAAGTAGCTGCTGGTCTTCTCGAGAAATATGTTTATAATGGATTTTCACGTCGTATGTTTCTTTTTTCTGATGGACAAGCCAATGTTGGCATGAAAACACGAGCGGAATTAACAAATCTTGTCGCTGGATATAATAATAAAGGCATTATAACTGATTCATTCGGTATTGGTGCTGATTTTGATACTGAAATTATGAAAGGTATTGCTGATGCTGGAGGATCAAGATTTGTATTTCTTGAATCAGCTCAAGTGATTGAATCATTAGTTACTAAAGTTCTTGTAAGTGTGTTTGGTGCATGTGGATCAGCAGCTCGTCTTATTGTACGTGGTAAAAATGGAGCTGTTATTACCAAGATATGGGGTCATGAAAATATTGTTGCTGGTGCAAGTCTTGGTGAACTTTATTTCGGTAATCGTCGGTCAGTTCTTTGTGAATTTACAACGTCTGGTACAGCAGTTGCTGGTGAAAACGAAATCGAAACACTTGTATATGAATTACGATACACTCAACCAAATGATCCTACTGGTGAACCTACAGTGATTAAAAATACATTATCATTAAAATTTGTAGACGATGAATCACTCGTTATGGAAATTGATCCTCGTGTAAAAATCATGTGTGCTACTCAAACGGCTGCTGATATGGATAAAAAAATCGCTGAATTAGTGAAAGATGGCAAAAGAAAAGAAGCCATGGATCTTGTTACTGAAAAAATTGCATTACTTAAAGATGTTGAACAATTTGATGATGAAAGAGGAATCATTTCATTAATACTTCGACTAGCTGAAAATATGCACAATAAGCTTAAAGATGAAACCGTCGATAAGAAACTCGTTTCTCGAGGATATGAACATCAAGCTTATTTATTAGAAGAAGATGATGATCAAGGATTCGGTCTGTTCGATTAAATAATAAAAAACAAAACATTTGAAATCATTTTTTTTCCTAAGAATGCAATGGAACAACTTTATGGCATCATTTTTATTTTAGAATTAAAACCTAGATGTCCATGTAAGAATATGGGAGCAATTAGACATCCAAAAAGATTATATATAATACTAAAAATTTCACCAGAATATCTGAGATAAAAATAAATGTGGCCCACGATGCATGTATTTCATTACGTAAGAAGCACTCTGCTTATGCCCATTATATCGATCTAAAAACACAAACCAGCTAAAATGTAAAAAATATCTGTTAAGATCTATTATGCTTGACAGTTTGGTCTACTGAGTTTACGTAATGAGTAATGCAAACGTTCCTGGAAAAATATCACTTCATTTTTCATCTACTACATCATGTTTTAGAAAAATAAAAAATATATCTATTCAGAATCTACGTTGAAAGACCCTCCTAACTGTATTTTAATAAAGTTTTTATTATGTCTTGCCTTTGAGTAATGATCACGTTCCTAAATGTATCCTGTAAACAGCAATCTACAATGATTGGGGCAGAAGGAACCGATATTTCAGTTTTTTTCGAATATCTCCCATGAGTTCCATCATATATTGTTGCTCTTTTTAACATTACATTCGTCGTTTAATAATCTATAAACCTGGTAGAAAATACCATGACATTGTTTAAAGATCGGTTATCTGTGCCGCAGTCATTGTGGATCGCTTTTTATAGCTGTAGTATATTTTAGCGTCATCTAAGGAAATGGTCATTACTCAAAGGCAAGATATGAGAGAAATTTTTTGAGCATACAGTTATATAATGCTTTCAACGCAAATTCTGAATAAATAGTTTTTATTTTTTTTTAAACATGTTATACTGCGACCGACTAAAAATGAACTGATGTTTCCAAGAACTTTTGCATCATTCGTTATTACCAATTGCGTGTATGAGTACCCTTATGATTGTAAATGTATTTCTATGTCGTTGACATTCAAATTAACACCCTTGTGTGTGAACGATATTAAGAGTATTTTATTATAAGTGCATGTCCTAGGTTTGCGGAAGATCTTACTTCGAATTACTCTGAGCAATGCTAGTTCTTCAGGAAATTCAATGAAGCGTGTATTAATATGTATACATAAAGAAATACGATAGTGAGTGTCTATACAAGAAAAATGGGAGCTGTATTTGATAGATCGATTCGTTCGCAAAAATTATTTGATGATTTTTAATAATTTATTAAACAGCTTTGATCGATTATAGTATTCTTTTTTATTTATTTTCCACAGTATTTTTCACACGAGGAAAACATAAGTAAACGCACAGAAAACAATGTCTAGTTTCCACAAGAATCGTCGATTCATTCTTTGGTGGCTAATGTGTATAGTGAGACTGGGAAGGAGAGATTACGGATTTTACTATCTTGATATCCGTTTGTCGAATTAGAACTTTATAATTGATAATAAAACGATGGAATCTGAGTTTTTCATTCGGATTGGAAACAACGTTGTAGATCGAGGCTCGTCAATTGGATCCTGCTGGACGTCTTAATACCGGTCGAATTCTAATGATCGTGATCGAGAATCCAGTGATCAAGATACCAATGATCTGATTGAATTTCTATTAGTTTTCGTTGGATTCATGTAAAATTCGGTCAAATTCGGATAGAAACTCTGGTAATTGGACGTCGTAACCTGAAAAGTGATACGAATTGTATCTTGCCGTTGTGATAACAACACCTGAGCCATAGTTGAGAATCATATCGCAATAGGACAATCGTATCTGAATATAACTTCTGGCTCAGGAGCTTCACTGAACATCAGTCGGAATCAATTTATGAATATTACTTTCAGAAATCGCCAGAAATCCACCAAACCCGGCTGTTTATTATCATACGAACTTGGACTTGAAGTCATTTATTGAATCATTAGTAACAGAAATTAAACTTCAATTATTGATCTTTAGAAATATCAACATTTTTATGGCTTGTTTTGCGTAATGTATTCATTTTTTTAATATTCTGATACTTGTAGAGATCGTTTTTCATAAATCACAAAAGTCTACGAGCTATTTATTCATTTTGAACATACTATTCGATCACTATAATCTTATGCTTTAGTTTTTTTCGATCTTTATTTCATGATGCTAATCATTTTATAAGTGTATTAGTAATATTTACTTTTAAATAACGGTTATTAGAAAAATAGCAACAGCAGCAACAACGTTTGTCGTTTATATTCAGAATGTTGTCAATGTTTAATTTGTTGTCCTTTCCATAATTTTTCATTTATAATCATTTCAAGTTCATTTTATTGATAATTTTATTTGTGAGTATGTTTATTAAAGAATAATGTTTGTTCTGCTCGTGAAGCGCGGCAATGAGTTCAATATTTTCAGTAATTCTGGTTAACGAAGATGAATACCAAGACCATTCGGTGTCATTACATCAAGTATCGCATATTGATGAGGACTAAATTAAACACTAGTCCAACCTAAATTCAACATTATCATTAAAAAAGTGCTTTTATCGATTTTATATAAAAACTATGGATTGATAAAATAAACTAGACTTTTTTTGCATTTTTTCAAGAATCATTAGTAGGAATTAGAGATAGTCTGTGGATCAAGGTGGGGTGGGGGGCATTCCATTTGAATGGGTACGAATAGATTAGAATACTCATCAATGTGTAAAGACTGTTTCATGCATTATTAAAATGATTTCATGGATGCTGCAAATACTATACAGTCATCAAACTTGCTGAAAATACCTACCATCGCTTTCAGATGTGTGCTTACTTTTTTCACAATTAATAGTCAATTTCTGGTATCGGAATGATCAAAGGTGCATCATATTTTATCAGTGCCGTGACTGAAAATCGTTAACACAATAATTAAATAATGTGTCTTTTTATAGTATAGTCTGGTAAAAAGCCTGAAAAAACACCGAGAAGCTCAGAAGTACTGTAAATTTTATCATAAAAATGATTTTCTTTGAGATGGTATACATTTTAAGTAATTCTTATAATCGAAGTGCTTAGGGAAAGAAATATGAACAGCATCAAGAATAGTTTGGCATAGAAGCAGAGGTGTAGCTACAGAGAGAGCTACCGCTTAGCTCAGTTTCTTCCAAACTATTACCCTTTCTTCACTAAAGAATTTCAATGCACATACTGTAAATAAATAAAATATTCATTAGGGCTCGAAACGGGCCCCTTCTTCATGATCTGAATCGACCCAAAGTGGTTCAGGTACTGTATAAGCTAGCTCGGTTCTATTCAACTTTAGTTCGAGGGTTTGGGTGTGGATGTGTGGGAGCTCGTGTGACTGTGGTTGTTGCTCAACCGTTCAAATTCATACCCACACTCAAGCAATCTAAAAATAGTCTGTATTCATCTGTTCTGAAAGAACAAAACACGAAGTCAACAGTGTCCCGCGCTGTTAATGGCGTCGCACAGCAGCGAACTTTTTCTTTCTTTTTCCAACAATGCTGACAAAAATAGTTGCGACTTCCTTTGCGAGGAGGCGTCACCCGTCATTCTTCTGCTTTCAAAACAAATTCATTGTTGAAATAACGGGAAAAAAATGGCAACTGCTTCGTCAAAACCATGTTTGCGACCTTCATCAGCCGTGAAAGCACCGTGTGCAACTTGTTCCAAACCTATTGGCATTTATCGATGTGAAGGATGTGAAAAACAATTTTGTCCTAATGACTTGAGCAACCATCGAAATGAGCTTTCCAAGGAATTAGAGCAACTTGGGGTCGAACACAATAAGTTTCAAGAAACACTGATCGAAACGGCAAAGGATCTTCGTACTCACGAACTAATAAGTCGCATTAATGCTTGGGAAAAGGAATCTAAGGCTAAGATAAAGCAAGCAGCAGAGGAAGCTCGTCAACAGATTGTAAAACATGCTGAAACAAATATCAAGGACATTTCGACGCGGTTTCGAGAAATGGCTGAAAGACTACACCAAGCTCAACAAGAAAATATATATGATGAGCGAGACTTGAAACGATGGGTGGAGCAACTTGAACAACTCAAGGAGAACTTTGTATCCCCATCTTCTGTGGTATTGGAAGAAGAGCCAGGGACGTTCATAGCAAAAATTCAGGTGAAAGACTTGGAGACTTTAGGAAAAAAATTCGAGAATGTATGTGGCAATATACAAATTCAAGATGGAGGTTTGCTTGCTATAGGCTATAATAACAATAGTCAAATATCGCAAGTTCGAAGCAAAGGAGAATACTCTGGCGGTATACACAAAATTCAAATGAAGATAGAACAGTATTCTAATGGATTTCTATTTTTCGGCATTAGCTCGAAATCAGCTCGGATGCAATACAATTCTTGCACTTTGCCGTCGTCATATGGTTGGACAGCTGGAAAGAATGCAGTGTATATAAATGGGCAGTGTTTTAATAATTACGAAGAGTATGCTAGCGACTATAAAATGAACGATACTGTTGAGCTTGAACTGGATTGTTATCGTCGACTCATTCGAATACGAAATGATCGTTCAAATAAACAATATGAATTGCCTATTGATCTTCAAAAATGTCCATTTCCATGGATACTTAATATTAACTTACAGAATAATGGCGATCGTCTACGCATTGTCGTCTAAACTGCTTTATTATTTATACTACGTTCAGTATGATTGTGGGTGTGGATATCAATCGGAATCTGATTTTTCTCTTCATTCACATCCACACTCATAATAAAAAAAAATCTTTTAGTCCATCAGTTAGATCGAATCCCCCATTAACAGAATTACATTAACAAAATCACTTCTATTATCAATATAATAAAGGATAATAAATGATCATAGAACAGCAATTTATCTAAAAAATCATCAGAATCATCAAAAATATCGATGATTAATTGCCAACATCTTAGAGACTTCGAGCATATGGGATATCTGGTGTAGAAGGTTGTGGCTTTGAGCGATGCGAATAGTGGAGAGCTCGATCTAGAAAGGTGTAGAGTGAGCTTTTTTTGTATCCTGACTGAGAAAGATTTTCTTATGCTTATCCTACTCGTCTCTTTAGAGTCTGTATTCTTACCTTGTCTTACGAAGTTTTTATCTTACTCTCTCTTAGTAATGCTGCAACTGAAAGACTCGAAATAGGATTGTCAGTGTTCGTGTTTCTTGAAGTTTTGCTCTTTAAAGACCATGAATATATTTTTACAAAGTTTTATATGAATTTTCAAAAGCTTCAAGCTATCTCAATATTCTTGTGCACCTTTTTTGTGGCATGCTGTTATGCGCTACTCGCTCCTAGAAACACAAATCACATAGTATCACTGAAGAAAGGTTGTTTTGAGAAAGTAACACATGTTCTCTCTTTCTCATATGAAAGTGTCTATATACACTGCACCAGAGCTACATTTTGAATCTCTACTCGTATTCAATCAGTCAGAAAGAATTTTTGAATTATTTCATCTTTATACAATTTGACTGAAGGTTCTGCCAAATAAAATTGAATATTTGAAGAAATTCAACAGAAAGCTAGGTTAAAAGTGTTAACAGTCAAATAATTATCAGATATAAGGTGAACATACAGATAGAATTGTCTGAAAGTTGTTTTGATTAGATATCCACAAATCGTTTCAACTCTTCAAAAAAATCGCAGCATCAGAAGTATTTCTATTTGTTAAATTTATGAAATTATTTGACTTCGCGTTTCATGTGTTTATGATCTGAAACTGAGTCTTTTTTTGTTCGTTACACTAAAGAAAAACATCTAGTCTGTCTAACATTGTTTGCTTATCCAAACATAATTCAACGATTACTCAGCTCATCAGTTAAAAGAAAATCACTATTTAATGTATACTAAATACAATGCAATTGTGAAAAAATTTATAACATAGAAACGAAGGTTGAATTGGCAAAGAGAATAAAACAACATGAAGGATTAATGAAAAATACATGAGAAGAATTCAACATCATCATGAGAGTATCTACACATGTATTTTTAACATAAGAAAAGCATAAGGATTGACAACAAAATAAATTAGAAGAGAAAACGAATCACAGAGATCATTGACTCCAACATAAACCAATCAATTACAAGAAGAGACGATATCAATAAAGCTTTTTTATTACGTCTATATACAAAGACATCATCAATAAAGAATACAATAAAAATGAAAGAAACAGAGATCGAAAAAAATTAATGAAAGAAAGAACAGTGATAGTGTAATGAACGAACGAAAAAACACTCAAAAAATAAAACTTCGTCCACTACTACCATCTTGTTCGTTCCACAATCAATAAATAGTAAAATGAAAGCAAAAAAGAAAATAGAAAATAATATTATGTGCATTCATTTTACATAAATATGTATCATGGAATAAACGACATAAGTTTTAAAATAAATAAAAAATACAATAGAATGAGAAAATAAATAAGTTCAAAAGTAATTCAATATGATCCTCCTTAATGTTCGTTAATCATAAAAATGAAATCTCTTAATAGTGGTTCTTCTGGTCTTCGGTGTTGTAGTCTTGCGCCTATTAACATTGATTTTCTTAGTATGGCATGGAGTAGCGGGAACTTTTCTGGTACTGGATGGCTGAACAGTGGTTTCCTGAATGGTGGTTATTGTTATAGTTGTTGTAGTTGCTGTTGTTGTTGTAATTGCTGTTGTTGTTGTAGTTGTTGTAGTTACTGTTGTTGTTGTAGTTGTAGTGATGGTTGTAGTACTAGTAGTGGTCGTAGATTTTGTAGTAGTGGTCGTAGATTTTGTAGTAGTGGTCGTAGATTTTGTAGTAGTGGTTGTGGATGTCCTAGTGGTGGTAGTAGTCGCTGTAGATGTAGGTACCGAGCAACCATAAAAAGTTCGAATTGCTTTGATGTCAAGCGGACTTAAAGTGTCACGTTGTCCTATTGTGACATCCGACTTAAGTGGCACGAGAGTATCGAAACCATTTTTACTGAAAAAGTCTCTACCATAGTGCATTATGGATCCATAATCATAAGGTGTATTCAAAGTGTTCGCTTGACTAATACTATATTTTTGGAAATTGCCTTCCATACCTATTCAATGTTAACATATCAAAATATTTTTTTAATTTTCAAACAACAATTGTAATGAAACAAAATTTGTATAACCTGGTATTATATTCTCCCAAATGACTCTGACGTAATCATCGCGATCTGGTCGTGATTGTTCATGATCAAAGCCTAAATTTATATAAAATTATATTTCTTACGTACTTTCTTCTTAATAATAAGAATTCCATTGCGCTAATGTTGACCGATGTAGACAATTTTTATTACACACAAGAAGTTATATCCAGTTCAAAATGAAGAATTTTATGAATAACTATATTTTAGATCAATTTTATCCTTTAGAAAAAGTGACTAGGTAAAAGTATCGAGAAAAAACTTATAGTTAACATTTTTTTGAGTACCAGGGGAATATTAACCAGTTTCAAAATAAAAAGAAATTTATTTTTGAAAACAGTATTGAGTTTTTACTTTGAATAATCAATTAAATTCATAAAAAAATCGTATACTTAAGAAATACATCTTGCCAGATCAAAAGGTTTTTTAACTTTTTATTTTTAGTTTCTTTCTGCTCAATATACGATCTGAAGTGTTCTCTATCTATTGGAAATGATTCATGAATCAATAGACGACTCTAAAAGCCGAATAACTGAACAAGATAGGGCATTTTCACTGAACAACAAAAAAGCTCACACATGATTTCGTTGCTTTTGAAAAATGAGGTTTTTGACTGCAAAAGTGTAGAATTGTCTCATTTCTCAACCATTCAGACAAACAATAAGGAAAAAAATGTATTGTATTACCTAATGCATGAATTAACTCATGCATAATCGTTCCTGTGAAAAGGCAATCAGAGTTTTGCAATGTCACCGTGCGATTCAATGTATATCCCGTGTATCGTCCGACCTTGAAAAAATAAGATATATATATATATTAAGATATAAATAAAAATATCCTCAAAAACTACTCACATAAGATGAACAGCCTTTTCCATTCTGAATTATGATATAATATTGTCCATCAGAAGCGACTCTCGGACGAAATTGTACACAAAGTACATTATTAGCCGCTGTTAAGTTCTCCAATGTTCGCATAGCATTAATAATTATATTTTGATCTGCAGCACCTACAAATAAACATAATCTTGACAATCTCGACACTTTATATGTTATATTATAGGGAGACACACTAGAAAAAAAAATGATCATCAAAAAATGAAACAAATATGTCCGGCTCAACATATTACATTTCAACTTCAAATATTATTATTACATATCGAAAAAGACACTTACTGTAACCTGATGAAATAGTATATGGTACAATTCCATTTGGCCAACGCACATAATCACCAATCATTGCCAAGCTTCTCTAGATGTTATTGAAGAAATGAAGCTATTATTAGTGCATGAGCAGAAAAGAAATTGTCAACTTACAGGCGTTGAAGGAATAACTATATCACCTTCGAAATGTCCACCTAAAAAAACACGAGTAAGCATATATATATATAATATTCTTCACTGTATCAAGGAAAATGATGAGTTTTTCTATTATTATTCTTCAATAAATCACGTCTATTTTTAGTTTATGAGGACACCAATAACTTAGTATTGAACAGCAGATAGTAGAACGTTTTCATGGAAAATATCTGATTTAAAATGATTGTTTTTGATTTAATTAGGAAAATTTCTAATTGAAACTAATAAGTACACTTTTGTCCGAGGTACATTAACTATTACGAATGACTAAAACATACAATATGAATCATTCACAAAAACAAAATACCTCCAATAGATATGGTTTGTGATATCAGCTTCTACTAATTCTAAAAATACAACACAATATTATGGAATAAATTTCGTGTCGATTATGAAATGTGATTAAATGTCTTAAACGAGTGGATTAATTCGATGTTTAACTACTAGATTATAATGAAGTTAAACTTGAAATGGTCAAATAATTCCATTTTACAGGCTACACGTCCATTCGAAATCAATATAAGTATTATCTATTTTAAAATAAAATAAAGTTAGGTATTTTTGGAATATTCTTTGATAGAAACAAGATAGAGAGTTTCAATTTTCACTGTTTAAAATATCAGATGAAACTGCACCGAATAGTATATACTACATTTTTCTGCTAAGTTTTTTTAGGGTCTGCCATCAATATTATTAAAAACAAAGTATTGCATAATGTAAAAGTCTTAGGATTTTTATTTTCAGAAGCGTATTAGAATCTTTTCATGTCAGTAATTTTTTTCATATGATACTTACCAATTTCTTCAAAACTTTTTTTTCTCCTCGACGAATCCTTAATTAAAACAATCAAATAACATAAATTATCTTAAAAGAAAATTCATCTTTATAAAAACTTACCTTTGCTATTGGTAGTCCATGTAAATTTGTTATAAGAGCAAAAACAATTAAGACCATTAAACAAATAATCGCCATTCTATGCATTTGATCTTGATTAGTCATATGATGCCTTTGATCAATTCCTATAATATAAAGTTGTGTTTTGTGCTACTCACAAATGTGAAAACTCTAATGAATTATATTTCATATCTGCTATCTCATGAAATCGTCCTTTTACATATCTATAGTGAAGCATACAGTTCTCTCATAGCTCAGACACTATATAGTTTTCAAAAGAAAGACTAATTTTTTGCCAACACTAAAATGACATTCTTTATTCTAATAACGAAAAATGCTCATTAATTTAATTATATCAATCATTATAAAAGAAATATAGATATTTCAAATGTTGATTCATGAGGAAGTCATCTAATGTAGCGATCAAACTAAGGTACTGTTCTGCAATTAAACGGAGAAATTATGTTGAAAATTCTCAACACTACTAATGTATCCTTCCATTTCATAATCCAAAAAGATTTTAGTAAATAAATTTATAAATAATATGAGAAGATCTAAAATAGTAATCATAAGTCTTATATGAAAGAATATAATTTACCTTATTTTGATATGCTGGTTTCTTATACACTATTGTATATATATTGTGTCAGATAATATTAAACAAATTTTGTTTAAAGATTTCGAAATGAAAAAAAAAATCTAAAAAGATAAGAATAAGATATATGTTGTTGTTTTATATATATAAATAATAATAAGTTGACTATATTTATTTTGTTCAATTGGATATATATTTTGACAATGTTATGTTTTATGTTTTGGACATAGAGACCATTGAATTTTTGTTAAGATCAAATAATCGATAGACAGATTGTTTCCTCATTTCTCTCGGCTCGATATTTTCAATGTGTAGAATCTTGCAAAAGTTCGTCATGAGAAAAACTGTAAATAGCACCTGAAAAGTTCAAGCGATTTCACTTTTCAAAAAACTCGAAAACAGTGAACTTGCAAGTTTCATTTCAAGGTGAGCATATTGAATAGTGAACGAAAATAAAATTATTCAAAACAATAATTTAGAAAAAGCCAAATAAAATGATATATATATATATATCTCGCATGTGTCGATTATACTATTCGAGAGTTGCTCACGTTTTTCTTTCTGGCGGATTTTTGGAACATCCTGTATATTTTTTCATCTTGGGGACATAGGAACATTGAATGATTCATAAAAATTTTGAAAAAAAATGTTTTGTTTTCCCTAAATTATTAATTTACACAAGCAAGAAATTAATGTGGGCAAGTTTTTGAAAAGAATGGTACATTACACCACATGTATTAGAGCATAATGAATAGGCATATGCACCGTGAAATTAAAAGCTAAATTTGTTGTTTAAGCAGTAATATAGTCAATGATATATGATAAATAATCTTTATTGGCAAATTTCGGTTCGAATTCTTTGATAACAAACTAATTAACTTTTTAATATATGCTTTCGAATATCACTTTCCGATATCGAAGGAGACGAAGTCATTAGTGCATACATTCCAATCAGAATTAGTAAAAATGACTACTGTCCTATGTAAAGAAAAATACATTTATAAAGATTATTAATAAAATCGATTAAAATCAAAATATTATCAACAGTATCAAAATTTGATTGATTATTCTCTAATGGTTTTTGACTAAAACTCATATTAAAATCGTTCTGAAAATCATTTTTAATCAATTAATTATTAAATCGATTTGCATCGAAAATAATCAGAATCATCGATCGAATTTTGATAATTTAGGTTATTTTTTTTTTGGTTTGTTATCTGTATGTTCGCACTACCGCCAATTTACTGGCGATAGCATTAACGACTTTCGGTTACAGCTGTAAAAAATTTGAGAGACTGTTTTCCACTTGAATTCGAATTATTTATTAAAAAGAATTCAAATTAACGATAAGAAAACAATTTCAGAAAATATTTTATTAATAAAAACTTTTTCAGCTCCATCTATAATATAAATTTTATTTCATAACTGGGACCGATTTGAATCCCGTGGCTAGCACAGGTGGTTCAGATGCATTGTCATTAATAAGGTCTATAGGAATGTATTCAATTCAGTCACTTTTATCAGAATTCAAAAACATTCATTCGTTTTTATATAATACATCATGTTACAACACAAAAAACAATCCGCCGGTATAGCGAACATTATACCAATCGATATACTAGCGGTAGTTTCTCTGTAGTTGCTATCACATCGAAAATTTGAATTTATTTTTAAGTAAAAGAAAATTATTTCGTAATTTTGCGTCTAACTAAAAATTATTTTTACCTAGGTATATATGAAAACAAAGATGTTAAGTTGAGTTATGATGTAATGCTTACTGATTTCGTTGATAGGTATTGAAGTTTCTATACGGTAGAATGCCTCTATACACTTCTTGTTGTCGTTACTGAATTGCAGTGAAGGGTAGCAGATAGCATGCGCTTTTATAAGTCTCTAATTATCTAGGCATTCTTTGCGTCTATATTATTGTTATTGCTAATATTATTATTATTATTATTATTATCATGTGATGATCATAATAGCAGTTGACGTTAAATGTTGTATATATAATTTACAAAACTTGATTGATGGGAGTATGTGTAAAATACGTGATCACTCACACACATTCACGAAACGTCCCAAATCAGTTCGTTATAGTCTTAGTAAATAGAGTTCGTCGAACTGATTCAATGAATATCAAAAGAATACCGAAAATACTTTAATCAAAGAGATGATTTCCCAATGCCCATTGTTTTTTTTTCCAGATCTACGCGTAGCCAAAGATAGAAGGCTGAAAAGAAATATGCATAAGATCCAAATTATAAACTCTTCATCAAAGAAGAAGCGAAAAAAATACTAAACACACATTTTTGTGATTTTCTTCCATAGAATTGCATTCAACATATAGCTGGCATATTGTCGCACACGTTTCTTTCGAAAATTACATAGAAGCTACATCTGTCATGCTTTTGGCATTAGCAGATGCAGAGCTTATATTTTGGAATTATGTATATTGTTTCTTGTCTTTCCTCCTATGACTATTCATAGATTTGAAAAAACGGTGTGTATGGAAAATCATCTCTTTGACTCAAACATTTCCCGTATCAATTGTTTTTCGTGGGATCAAATGCATAAACTTTATTGATAGAGTCTATCATGCATTGATTTGAGAGTCTTCATAGGTGATCATGTATTTTATAGATGTTCCTTTGATCATCCATCACGGACTATGCTCTTTCACCTTTTATTTTTTGTTCTTTAGGTACATTTTCTTTGAAAAAAAAAATTTTTTTTATTTAAGGAAAATCAAAAACAAAAATTTTCTTTTTCAATTAACATCACTTAAATTTTATTCAGCAAATCTATCGGAAGAAGTATGGTTCAATGAGAAATCCCATCGAAATAATTTTCTTAATAATCGATCAATGACTAATCTGTGCAATGATAATATTAAATTTTTGTATCAATAGAAACGATTATTACATTTTAGCTACAATTTAATCATTGAATATGCGACATTAATTCGATGAGTCATGAATAAATTTAAATGAAAAATAATATAGGAAGACATACACATCGAGTCATATGTCACCTATCTATCATTTATGCAGATTTAATAAATGAAGACAGTTAATGACGTTCGTCAAGTATTATGTTAGAGCTAAATACAATCGAACAAAAGAAAAAAGTATGTTTTTCTTTCTTGTCCTAAAGTACTTTTATTTCATGCATGATATTTGCTTGCACATCACTACGAAAAAGTACATTAATACCTCGAGACTAAAATATAATGCTTGATTTCAATTGCCAGTGCCTAATGTGTTTTTTTGACTTATATTTTTAATGACGGACAAATAAATAAATCGTTTTTTTCTTTTCGCATTATATATCTTCGACACGTCAGTTTAAATAATAAAAGTACCTTTTGGAAAATACTAAATGCATTGTTTATA